CGTTTCAAAATTTTGTGTTTTGGTAATAAATGTGGTTGCGACAGACGAAACTCGTCCCAGAATCAAAAGTTTTGAAAAATTCTTTATAAGAAAGGGCATTTTTTATTTAATTTTAACACCGGTGCTTATGGTTTTGATTTAAAATTTGAAATTTTTAGTTATTTGCCAAAAGACAAATAATTTGCCACTAAAATCACCCGATTTGAGTCCATGTGAATCGTTTTTTGTGCTACTTTAGGAGAAAATTGAGCGTTTGTGGACTTTTTGACTCTAAATATACCTTTAATTAGGTTCTCTGTACCTTAGTTTGGTGTATAACCACTAATGAAATTTTCAAAATTTTTTATTAGTTATTTTTTAAACATATTTATTTATCGTATAAAAATTTTGTTAACAAAACTGAGTTTTTGAAATTTTTTATAGAAAATTTCTAAAAAAGTATCAAAAGTAATGAATATGAAGAAAAATTGACAAAAAGTGCACAAAATTAATAAAAAAAAAAACAGAAAAAAAGAACAAAAACACAAAATTTTGAGTGACAATAAGAAAAAACCTGACAAAACAAAGACCTAGTTAATGCCTTTTTTCGGATCTAAGGAAGTTTTTTTTGATCTGGAAATAATGGCAGTAAAATTTAAGTAAAATTTCTTTTTAAGTGGAAAATTTTAACACCGGTGCTTATAGTTTTGATTTAGAATTTGAAATTTTTAGTCATTTTCCAAAAGAAAAATATTTAGTTGCTGGAAATGTGACTAGAACTTTTTTTTATTGTTACCAATAATGACAGTAAAAATTAGTCAAAAACACGATTTTCTTCAATTTTCCACTAAAATCACATGAGTCCATGTGAATCGATTTTGTTTGGGGGAATATAGCTTTAATTAGGTTATCTATTCCTTAGTTTGGTCTATAAAAACTATTAAAATTTTTAAAATTTTTAAATTAATCACTTTTTAGACATACGTATTTATATCGAATAAGAAGTTTATTAACAGAATTGTAAGTTTTAGAAAATGTTGTATAAGAAAAAAGTAGTCAATTTTTTTGGAGGTAAACGACAAGATAACAAATAAACAAAAACAATAAAATTGCGATTTTTATACGGAATTTGTAAAAAAATATAAAAAGTAATTAAATTAAAGAAAAATTCACATAAAAATGCACAAAATTGATAAAAAACAGAAAACAAAGAAAAAAACACACAATTTTAAGTGACAATAAGAAAAAATCAGACAAAACAAAGACTAGCTACGAGTAATTAAAAGGCTTTTTTATCTTCAAAGAAAACAGTAAAATTTAAGAAATTTTTTTTTAAGTGAAATATTCCGACATTGCCCTCCCATACGAATTCTTCGTTTCAAAATTTTGAGTTTTGATAACAAATTCAGTTGCGAAACGCAAAACTCGTCTCAGAATCAAAAGTTTTGAAAAATTCGCTATAAGAAAGCACATTTTTGATTTAATTTTAAAACCAGTTCTAATAATTTTTATTTAAATTTTGAAATTTCGTTCTTTGCCAAAAGAAAATTATTTAGTTAGTGGAAATGTGACTAAAACATTTATTTTATTGCTACCAATAATAACTAATAGTAAAAAGTATTCAAAAACACGATTTCTCTAAGTTGCCACTGAAACCACCCGATTTGAGTCCATGTGAAATATCTTGGTTTGGCGTTTTTGGGCTGTCTGATACTTTTATTTTACTAATTTGGCTTTTCTGATTCTAAACGTATTCTTGGTTTAGCGATTTGAGTTTTAATTTCGCCTAAAAACTGATTTTTGTTGATTCTGAGCAAGTGGCCACATTTTGGTCAATATCTCGAAAACTATTTATCGACGGGAGAATTTGTTAACAGATTTGGAATCCTTGAAAATTTTTGCATTAGAAACCTTTATTTTGGTTTAATTTTTCTCGCTAGCAGTTTCAGTTATGAACAAGTTTTCTAATAAATCAAGCATTTTTTACGTACTTTTGAGGGACAAGAGAAAAAGAACAAAAAAAAAACACACAAAGACCTAAAATGGATAGTTAAGAATAGTTTAATGTTTGCTTTCAAAGTTTTTTGTTTTATCTGAAAAAAAAATAGGAAAATTTAAGAAAATAATTTTTTTTTAGTGAAATATTGAGACATTGCCCACCCATACGAACTCTTCGTTTCAAAATTTTGTGTTTTGATAACAAATTTTGTTGCGACAGGCGAAACTCGTTCTAGAATCTAGAGTTTTAAAAAATTATGTATAAGAAAGAACATTTTTGATTTAATTTTAACACAGGTGCTAATAATTTTGATTTAAATTTCGAAATTTTTATTTATTTTTCACAAGAAAAACATTTAGTTACTAGAACATATCTTTTATTGTTAACAATGATGACTAATAGTAAAAATTACTCAAAAATATGATTTTCTTCAAGTTGTCACTAAAACCACCCGATTTGAGTTCATGTGAAATATCTTGGTTTGGCGTTTTTAGGTGGTTTGATACTTTCATTTAACTAATTTGGCCCTCCTGATTCTAAATTTAGCTCTAGCTTAGCGATTTGAGCTTTATTTTTGCCTAAAAACTGATTTTTGTTGATTCTGATTTTGGTCAATATCTCGGAAACTACTCATCGTAGAGAGAATTCGTTAACAGATTCGGAATCCTTGAAAATTTTTGCGTTAGCATCCCTTATTTCGGTTTAATTTGTCACACTAGCGGTCCCAGTTTCGGCCAAGTTTCCTAATAAATCAAGCAATTTTCAAGCGCCTGCAATAATTTCTTGTCACAACATTAACAAGAAAGGCCTTTATGCGACACAGGCGGTTCTTAAGTTTGCTATAATTAAAATGAAATACATTCAATGGGGGAGAGACACTACAAGTACCCCAAAGTGCAGAAAGCGTGATCCGGAGGGGTGTAATTGAGTCGAACAGAGGCCGACTGTGTAATCTTCTGGTGTTGTAATTAACTTGGGCAACGACTTGG